TATTGCGGTTGTGGTATTGTATAAATCCTAACGGAATTGTTATAACATTAAGTATTATGTTAAGACAAAAAAAATTATAATATTCCAACAAGATAATTTTTATTATATTAACATTATATTTTAAATAATGATATTTGGAGGAATAATGCAATAAGACAACCACTCATGATGACAGTTTCTTTTCGTAATCTCACAGAGACAATCACGAATTATTAATGAATAATTCATATATTAGAATTTTTATTTTATACATTTATTTATTATAGCAATTTTTATATTATTATATATTGTGGCAAATAATTTATTCACATGAGAAAAATAATATGTTTTTATCCATTAAAAATAAAGTTAGCTTTGAAATCTATATCAAATGGCAGATTTTAATATGTGTGTAAGTTACGAACTTGAGCGCATGCTAATTATACGCTATCAATCGGTCCACTTTAATTGCTTATAATTCAAAAATACATTGTATTATCGGCGTTGTCGATTATTAAGATTTTTTATTCTAATTAATTCATAGATTTGAAGTATTGTATGTGTACAGTAGTTTTAAAATATATTTTGTATATATAATCCAATACTATATATTAAAACAACAATATTTAATTAATAACGTATTAAGAAAACGATTATTTGTACGAGCATCACACAAAAAATAATATATTTTGAAGAATAAGTCTCTCACTGATCCGAGCAACTCCATCGAAAAATTTCCGAATTTTCCAGCTGTTAAGTTAAGCGGTATTATAGATCCATATGCAATAATCATTAAGTTCTTCGCATCTTTAGCCGGTATATTATACCACTTGCTTTCATACACGCTATACGCCACACTGGTGCTCTGAAAATTATATTTTTTATTTTACACAAATTACGCTAACTTATATACTAACAATTGTCTTACCTCTGTTAAGACTTTTTCAGCCGCGTAGCAATACATGTACAAATTCGTCAACAGAGAAACAACATAAAGCGAGAGAAAAGCCACTTTGAAAACAGACACATTTAATTTGTCTGTTATTATCTGAAGATATGTTTCTCTTAGCGTAAATGCATATAATAGTATAATTATGCCGTAATATTTAAATTAAATGTATTATAATATGAAAAAACTTAACTTTATTATATATGTATGTGTGTGTGTATATATATATATACAGGGTGAGTCATTTTAATCAACGCACGCAAATATCTCGTAAAGTAAGCAAGACGAAAAAAAATGTTTTATACAAAAGTTGTAGGGTTCAGAGGGGGACACATGATGAAAATATGGACTTGACCTTGAGTGATCTTTCTATTACAACATGTGCAATTATTCAGGTAAAGGGAAAATATACAGTTATTCTTATATTTATAAGCATACTTATAAGTCATTCCACTTACCGTATAAGTTCGAAAAGTTTGAAAACATAGTTGAAAAGTAGTTGTTAACATGTATACAAATAGCACTGCGCTGTAACAGTTGTTGATTGTCTTTACAGTCCTTGAAAAATTATTTATATTATTCACTTGTTATAGATTGTCGACTTTACTATTATTATAATTCCAATATGTATTAAGAGAGTGAATGCATTTGAAAATGACTAAAATATCAAGATCTTTTTTATTTTTATTTTATTTTTTTGTTAAGGTACAAGAAAGATGATAAGATTATAAGATAATTTTCCCTAAACATTTTGGAATATATAAAATTATTTCTGTAATATATATGTATATGATATGAATATATCTATGTTTAAAAAAAATATTGAAATAGTAATAAAAATAGCATCAAAACTTTCGAAACGTTTTACTATAAAATCGTGTTTTATCACATTAAAATACATTTGTCTTTGGGAAACATATCAGTCCAATTGTTAACCATTTTTTAAATTCAAAAATAAATAAATTATGATTTAATCATTTAATTTAATAAAATTAAATAATTTTAATATAATTTTATTAAAAGTTACGTGTGATTACCGTTGCCAAACAAATTGATTTTGTTTAAATCATAATTAAAATTTAGGAAGTGTCGATTAAAATGTAGTCAAACCTATGAGAAAGAAAATATTAAAAAATTGAATATTTGAACCTACTCTTTTAAACTGAATCAATGAAAATTTCATTGATTAAAGCAGTGTCAAGATTTCGCTGCAGATCAACGATTATTTTATTGATTTTCAGTGAAAACACTCATACTTTTTTTCCGTTGTATGAGTTTCACTGATTATGGCAATAAGATTTCAGAAAGATCAGCCATTACCACTAACTCGTTTATTTCATTATCAGTAAGACTTCACTGTTATTGCAATGCTATACTAAAACACCCACTGCTACAGCTCTATTGTTTATCAGTAATAACATGTATTAAAGAGAGCAATATTAAGAAAAAAAAATATAAAAATTGATTGTTTTATTAAATAATTGCGCAATTGTATCTCCTTAATCTTAAAAAAAAATAATTTAATTTTAATTTTTAATAAATTGATTTGCGTTTATATTTAAATCTGATAAAATTTTGAAATGTTTGTAATGTTTAGAAGCTCTGTTTAGAAGCCCGTTATGTATAAAAGAAAATCTTTTTATATAAGGACATATATCTATTAGGTATTGTATATATATTTCTTCTAATATGACGCTTACGAAAGAAATATGTGTTACACTGTATATTTTTAAATATTTTATAAAATTACTCCACAAATACTTTGAGACATACCTGATAAGATGTTTATGTCGTATAGCGATCGCGGCTAAGCCTTCTTTAAATTTCGTGTAGGATATAGATTTATTGGCTAATTCATCGATCAAATCGTTGAGTGCCATTCGTAGATTTAATAGTTGCGCGCATTCATGCAGTAAGAGCATCGAGATGAAGCTGTCGACGGTAGCGTTGATTAGTGCCGCGTATATTCCGCCGAAAAGTTGGATGACAAATGTAATTTCATAATTCGGACTCTTCTGGGCGTTGTAAGGATAAACGAAATGATAGATGAGGCTGCGTTGAGGCTGATGATTATTTTGATAAAGTTTTAGAAGATTAAAACATATGTAAAAGACGAGTGTGATCGTCGCGAGAGCGTAACATCCAAAAGATAAATTTCTGCCACGTCTCGCGAACCTCAGCATCGTACTTCGTTCACACTTGTTTGTCGAATTTATCCAATCGGTCATGACTGACATCATTAATGTTCGAAGTGCTGTTAAATTAAACACATATATTGATATGTTAAATATATATAAATTTATATATACATATATAAATTGTCAAAAAGCGTGATATATACAAGTCATCTTTATATACAAAATACTAAACCTAAATATTATACAATGAGAGTGTTAGATGTAAATTAAAAAAAAATCCAACATTCATCTTATTTATAACAATAAAACAAATTTATCCAATAAGTTTATTGTTGTAAAATAATTGCTTACTTTCGCTGTGATACCAAGTAACGAATAACTTGCTCAAAGCCATCAAACTAAAATTGGCGGCGGCTATATCTTCCACCATAAGAGCTACATTACTCCAAACACGAATCACATGTATGAACTGCGGTATTACTATGTAAAAACTCAGGATAAACATAACGGTTATGAACGTTATGTTTGGCCGACGAAGGTTGCTTAAAGGAATACGTGGATCGGGCCATACACCTAAGAGCCGCAAACATTGACGGCTCAGAGCAAACGCGTAACTCAAATCTAACAAAAATTCAAGTTTTAGATAAAATATCACAGCTTTACGTTGATTTAGAAGTAACATTATTATTTTACGTTATTTTCTAACATTTCCTTTTTCCACTTATATATTTTAAATAATCATATTTAATTTAAAACATTCTCAGGGATTATTTATTGTTTTTTTGTTACGTTTCTCAAATCTATTTATTAGATTAGCACTCGCGTATATTTTAGAATTTAATTTATTTGTATTATTTTCTTTCTAATTTTTATTTTATGTTATTATGTATGTGTGCATAGGCTATGGAGATATTTATCTTGTACTCGTGGGAGGCAATGCATATTAAAATTGATAAATATATAATACATAAGAAAGACAAAAGAATAATATTATTTTGATGAAAAAAAACAACAAGATTTAGATTTATTAAATCTCTGTTCATAAAATTTCTTTGTATTATTATCCTCCCAGGAAATATTGCTGTTTTTAACTTTCATAAAAATTTTCCATTTCTCCGTTTACGCCAGAGGGAAACAAAGTACGACTCGTCTATAAGCATAAGTATACCCTTTGATTTTTATCATCATATCCAACTTCCTTACTGAAAAACACTTTAAATCAATCTACACGTTGAAAGTGAATATTTTTTGCTAATGTACAAAGTTTAAGCACCAACTCCGACAAACTGTCGTGAAACATGAAGTTTTATGAGAGATCTATAGACGCGAGTCTATAGACGGGAGTAGGTTTTAATTTTCGCGAATTTGTGAAACAAATTGTTAAGAACGACTTGTTCCCTTTATATTTAACAAGTAAATTGCAAATAATGCAAATATTATTACATAATATTTATTGCATTCAGAAAAAAGTTTAATAAATAACATGTTAAATAACAAACGGAATATATTCATCTCAAGAAAAAAAATATTTTTTTTTAATATTAATAAATTGAATAAACATTATATTCATTTATAATATAAAAGAAACAAAAAAAGCAAGTTGTATAAATAAGTTGTATAAAAATTGAGAAAATATTAATCACAGCACATATCTTCGTATATTAAGAATAATATATCACATAATTATTTTGTACCTTGTAAATTTTTTTTTCACACATTACCACTCGCGAATAGTAATTTAATAATAATTAATCTTTACCGAAATTTTATATATTAA